ACGGAAAAAGAACTTTTTGCTATGGAAAAATTTAGATCCTATTTGCTTGGTACTAAAATTACTGTTTTTTCTGATCATGCAGCTATAAGGTATTTGATGAGCGAAAAGGAAGCAAAACCAAGGCTTTTCTGGTGGATCATGCTTTTACAGGAATTTAACTTAGAAATTAAAGACAAAAATGGCTGGTAGCAGATCACTTGAGTCGAATTCCCCTTTCCACATCCGAACCACCACTCAGAGAAGAATTTCCTGAAGAAAAACTGATGGTAGCGCAAAGCATAACTCCATGGTTTGCAGACATGGTTAATTATTTGGCCACAAGTAAGTTACCATTAGATTTGATGAGAGCTAAAATCAATCGAATTAAGCGAGAATCCCGATACTATATTTGGGACGATCCTTATCTATGGAAGCACTGCTCGGATCAGGTAATTCGACGATGTATTGTTGAAAGTGAGGTAAACTCAATTTTACAATTTTGTCATTCTTACTCTTGCGATAGTCATTTTGGGCCAAAACGTACAACTCATAAAATTCTTGAATGCGGTTTCTATTGGCCTAACATCTTTCGGGATTCTTATTTATTTTGTAAAACTTGTGAAAGATGTCAACATACAGGTAATTTAAGCCGTATGAATGAAATGCCGCTTAATTCTATACAAGTTTGTGAAATTTTTTATGTTTGGGGAATAGACTATATGAGTCCTTTTACTTCGTCATTTGGAAATATTTATATTATTTTAGCTGTGGATTATGTTTCTAAATGGGTGGAAGCTAAAGCCACTCGGAATAATGATGCTAAAACTACAGTTAATTTTTTGAAAAATATTTTTTCCAGGTTTGGCACGCTACGGGCTATAATAAGCGACAGAGGAACACATTTCATCAATCGAGTAATCGAGTCGCTAATGAAGAAATTTGGAGTAACTCAAAGAACTGCTACCGCTTACTATCCACAAACAAATAGACAGGAAGAAGTATCAAATCTATAAATTAAAATAATTCTTGAGAAAATTGTTAAATCGGACCGAAATGATTGGAGTTTAAAATTAACCGATGCACTTTGGGCATATCGAACTGCTTATAAAGGTCCTATTGGGATGTCATCATACCGGCTTGTTTTCGGTAAACCATGTCATTTACCGGTCGAGTTAGAAAGTGTAACATGGACATGGATGCAATTGGTGAAGCTCGGAAATTACACATTCAAGAACTTGAGGAAATCCGAAGAAATGCCTATGATAATGCTCGGATATTTAAAGAAAAAACAAAAGAATTTCACGATAGTAGAATTTATTTTAAAACTTTTTTGTCGGTCAAAAGGTTTTATTATTTAACTCCAGATTTAAATTTTTTGCAGGAAAACTCAAATCAAAATGGCTCGGACCGTTTACAGTTACTCAAGTATTTCCTCACAGTGTTGTTAAAATTGAAGATAACTAAGGAGTACCATTTAAAGTTAATGGTCAAAGATTGAAGCCATATTATGAAAATGCTCTGGTTGGTCTAATCGAAGAAATCAATTTAGAGAAACCCACACTTTGAAAAATCAAGTCGTCGAGCTAACGACTTTAAACAAAAGCGCTTGATGGGAGGCAACCCATTTCGTTATATTTTTGTTTTTATTTTTTTATTTTCGTTTTATTTTTTTTATTTTTTAGCAAACTTTATTTCATTCTATTTATTTTATTTTGATTAATTTTATTTTTCTGAATAGATCTGAATTCCGATCGAATATTTAGTGAAAAAAAAACAGTGCATAAAAACTGACTTGATTCTAACTGTGCAGAAAAATTCGAACAAAATAGTGCAGAAAAAACTGATTTGGTTCGAACAGTGCAGAAAAGTTTAAATAGAACAGTGCATCATCGGACAGTCTACTCTACAACAGCTTGTCTCGACGTGGCCGTGATCGCCACTAGATTTGGGAGTATTCTTTTTTTTCTTCTCTTTGTTTTTAAATTTGATATACGCTTTGGGACAAAACGGAATAAGTGAGGGGGAAAGGATAAGCATGTGTCAAATTTTTCTTGACTTGTTTAATCGTTTGAAATTGAGTTATTCTGATATTGATATATTGTAATCATTGGTTGATAGTATTAAATTTCGCTTTATACTCTTGCTTCCTTTTGGATTATGATCATATTTTTTATCGAATTTAATTTGCATGATTGGTGATTGATATAGCTAGTGAATTTTTTGTTGAGTATTGATAGTTCATACTTTTGTCAATAGAGATGAACTTAACTCAATGCATATAAATTTTTCTTGTGAGATTTGAGCCTAACGAGCATACATTTTCTTTCTTGCTCATTGTTTGACTTGTGTGTGCCGAACTAACTAGGATATTCTAGAACTTGTAATCACAATGCATATCGAGACTACATGTTGAACGTAATGTTTTAATGTGATAGGGGCACCTAGGATAAACCCATTTTTCCCAAAAAAGCCTACCCATTTATATATCTACTAATGAACCACATTTGAGCTTATTTCCATTTCTTTGTTTTTACACCTCATAATTAAACCCGAAGCCTTTTTTTCCTCTCTTTTCACACCCTTACCGAGACTTGAGATATTGTATCATTGTTGTTCCAGAAAAAAAAATTCAATGTTTAAAAAAAACAAGTTTTTCACTGTATCGAACAAAAAAAACCCTTTGTTCGAGAAAAAAAGGGAAGAAAAAAATCGATCACTTCAATTGTATTTCATCTATTCTTTTTCCTTGTTTTGTTCTTCATTGCGCTTCATGTTAATTCGTGGATTATTCTTAATTATTTTGATATCTTGTTTCGGTATTTTAAATCTTTCTTTTCGGCCTTTCCCTACCCTAACCTAAGCCTCGTTACACCTTGTTTAAAGACCCTTTGATTATTGCATTATGTTCATTTTTCGTGGTGGAGACTTGATTGGATTCCAAGTCTATGGTAATATTTTGGTTAGTTTCGGTTTGAGCGGTTCATTTACCCCAAACACTTTGAGCGGATATGTATGAATCTTTGTGAGGTATTGAGTCATGTTTCATTGAAGTTGGCAATTAATTGAGGCATACTTTAAATTTTCTTGGTTATGTCTTTGCTTGATTGTAACTTGAATTCGGCAAATGTCATTGACTTAATTCGATTAGAAGTTTGAGGAATAAATTGAAATTGAAGATGACAACTTATGATTTTGATATGTTAATTGAAGAATGCTTGAGGACAAGCATTGAATAAGTGAGGGGGAATTTGATAAGTGCTTAATTTAGTTAATATTTTACTTTTAAATTACTCTTTAATCATTGATTTTTGTGACTTATTTGTTCATTTTAATTCATTTTCTGTACAGGACGTAAGATTATGGAAATTGTACAAGAAGGACACAATTCTGCATATTTTTTATTTTCGGAATCAAAGCTGGATGGAATTCGAATTTAGATTAGACTCAAATTTAGGATAATATTTTAAACATTATATTTTATCTTTGTATTTTAATTTAAATAGGTTTTTAGTATTTTAATTAAGTTTTAAGATATTATTTTTATATTTTATCTTTTTCTTTGTATTTTAGTTTAAATATGTTTTAGTATTTTAATTAGGATTTAGAATATTATATTATTTTTTAGGTATTTTAGTTTAAATAATTTTAAGTGTTTTAATTAGGATTTAAGATGTTTTAGCTTGTTTTTAGGATTTTGAAGGCTATAAATACCCTCTAAGGGTGAGCCTAGAAACATATCTCTCTCATTTGAGAATGAAATCTTCTTTTTCTCTCTAGCTTTCTCTCTATTTTTTGCATACTTTTCTATTATGCTAAGTATGACTTTGGTTATGCTTAGCTAATTTTCTTTCAAGCCGAAGACTAAAGCGAAGACTCAATTCTAAACGTGAGAATTGTAAAGTACTTAAATCGCTTCAGATTTTCTCTCTGTTTTCTGAAGCTTACTTTTCAAATCAAAACTATTTCGACATTGGTCCGGATATTGTTATGGTTAATGTTTGAAGAATGATTTGTTTATTGAAGCATATTCAACTTCCCGAGAACACACTTAGCAAAATTGTTTGCTAAGAGGAAAGTGAGATCGAAATCAGTTGTTGTTGAAACGACACAATCCGATTTGGCAGCGAAGAATTGTTCTTGTAAGCTTACGTGAATCTTGAAGTAAAAATTTGTTTCGGTGATCCGAGGAATTTGAGGCGAAGCTGAAGTCTGAGGCTGCTTTCACAATAAGTTTCTCTTTATCTTAATCTCTTTAATTTGTTTATTTAATTATTTTTTATTTAATTCATATTTTTTATTTTAACCACAACTTTTAAAAAAATCTCCCTTTTATATTTATTACTATTAATATTTACTATTATATTTCTTTTTTATTTTTATTTTATTTTAATATATCTTTTCAACTTCATCTGGAATTCTATCTTTTTCTAAAATCAAGAAAGAGTTTTATTAAATCAGAAACACTACAGTCCCTGTGGATCGACCATGCTTCTCTATACTACATTTTACTTTTTATTTATTAAGAAGCCAGTAATTATTTTGATAACAAAACGGCGGTTATCAATTTTCCAAGACTAACACAAATTCAACCACACAAAAAAATGGATATAACGATCTTTTACGCAAATAAAATATAAAAAGCAGTTACATTCATCACATTGGCAGATACTGGTGAAAGACAGGATATTTTATGTTACATGAACATGTCTTTCACTTGTAAATAGGAATTATACACCAAAGTACATAGCCAACCTCAGTTCATATAGAAAAATAAGAATGACCGTTTTCAGCTTAGTCTGAATTAGCCGGTAGCAGCAAACCGTCAATGCAGAATATCTTAACCAAAGGACATAGGTAACAGAAAAATCTAACAATCTCATACCCTTGCTGGTCGCTGGTGAAGCAACATAAAAACAGACTGAGTTCCTCATTTCTAACTAATACGAGGAAAACTGAAAAGTAACAGAACAAGCCAATAAATCAAAACCTTTTCAGCAATAAACATGGTGTAAGCAACTCACATTGGGATACAAACGGCAAACTTCTGGAATGACTTCCACAAGTAAATCTGCACCCTTCCGATAAACCAACCTACTTATCACAACAACAACAATTTCATCACGGCCAAGGCGCACTTGAGCAGGCTTGAACATAGCTGTGTCCACAGCATTAGGTATTACAAAAACCTTTTCTGGCAGCAAACCCGACCGTAGCACTGTATTTTCCTTGCTTGTATAATAAACACAAATGGCCCGGGTTACATCTGCTAAAGTAAACTGCAGAAACTTGTTCATGTGGATGCTTCCCACATCAGCAAAACCATACAATGAATGATCAGTAAATACAACCTTGTATCCCATGGTACGTGAGTGCATCAAAGTCTCGTGGCATAGAGTAGAAAAGGCTTGATGACCATGCACAAGTGATATCTTTTCTCAAAGAAGTATAGTCCTTATTATTGGAAATGTTCCATAAAAGTTGGGAATGTATTCTGCATAAGGAATGGCCGCCATGGTACATAATAAACCTTCAAACCACTAGTCATATATCTCACCCCAGATCAATTTCCATAAGCATGGGTCAAAACAACCACCTGAAATGATCGAGTAAATATATCATCCAATCGAGCGAAACAAAAGGACTGGATTTTGGTACTTATTTCATTAGATTTTGAAGAAAAAGAAACATTTGATATGCAGGAAAGGAAGGTAAAATAGTGTTGGATGGTAAAGAAAGGACCAAAGAATTTTAAAATACTCTTTTTGACCAAAGAGGAAAAACAAATGGATATCAGTTTTAGTGGAAACAATGGCAGAGCAGAACAAAGAAATATACAATAAACCCTTCCAGTGACATTATATTATTCTTCTACCTAACCAATGGCAGATCTGAAACCTTCTTTGGAAAAATAAAACTGAAAAGATTTTCCTTTTTTCCAGGTTCTTTGCTCATGTCAAATGGAAAAACAGTGTTCACAAATAGATTTAAAACCTACTAACTTACAAAACTTTTCTGACCTTGTGACCGAGTTTCAGCAGGCACTATGACAGATAATAAATGTGATTCTCGACACCACCAAAGTTTGGATAGAAAAAATCAGAAACCATAAGAATTCTGTGCTTCATGTCAACCATGAAGGCAATCGCCTGCAATAATAATGGTAAAATCTTCTTTATTCTAGGAACTTGAGACTTGAGAGAAACTAGCAGTAGAGAGGAGTGTAAAAAATGGAATAGTCCAAACAACAATGGCTGGAAATGATCCCTTATACCAAGCATTTGGCAACCAAATTCTTTTTAACTGCTCAGAGAGAATGCAGCAGAGCAGGTTGGCTATTAGGGATGGAAATTGGAAGCACATAAACTGAATATTATTATTTAAATGGAAATAAGCCATCTCCCTAATAAATATAAATTGAAATACAGATTTCTGATAGGAAACATTAATATTGCAAAGACCAGTAATAGTTTATGCAGTCATATTGCAAATTCTTCCATTAGTAATGAGCATTTAACTATTTATGCAGCAAGAAGCAGTTTACAGTATACCGAATAAATTGAAAAACAAAAAAAGGCAGGCAAAGAAGCACATCAGTGGTTTATTAGGAGATAAATTAACTAGTTATTTAGTTTTTTGGCACTCAGTAAATTTACATGATTGAAATGGATAAGCTAGTCATAACCGATTATAGATAACTAAATGGATAAATTCATGTCTACTACATTGCTTGGAAAACTTTCTATAGTGCACGTAGCATCATTATGCAATCAGGTGTTGCAATTGGAGAAAAGAAAAAAGAAAAAAAGAAAAATGAAGACCTTACCAGAGGTGATCTGCGGCGGCGCCACTGCGAAGCAGGACTGCAATGGACGAATCCGAGGGGCTTTTGACCCTGATTTCAAGAACAGCGGACGGCGCTGTAAGCAATTCATCCCAAATTATGACCCTCGTTCTAAATTAATCCCTAAACTTTTGAATATTTCAATTTCATCATCAAAGCCATTCGAATATGTAATTAGTTTCAAGCATAATTTAAACTAAATTTTATTTTTTTCCAAACATATAAGAATATAATTTGGCTTAACAATTTTATTTAAAAAGGACGTTATTAGTATATAGGGGTGAGCAAAACTCGACTTAACTCAAAATTTTAATTTTTTTTAATTTCGAGTTATTCCAGTCCACTTGAATTATGAAGTCTATTGTGAAGTTCGAGTTGAGTTCAAATTTGAAAATTTTGAGTCACATGAAAAAAAATTGGTAGTTTTACGATTTAGTCCTTAATTTTCTTATTTCTTCAATTCCTCCTTTATTTTAAGTCTAGTTTTACCAAATTTGAGCTACATGCTCTTAAACCATCATAGAATACATATGTACTTTCAACTACTATTTTTATACCAAGTTTTCTATTTTCAATTTAGTCCCTTAACTTTTCATTATTTCCTTATTTCTTCAATTCATCATTCATTTTAATTTCATTTTAATTTCAATTACTAAAATGTATCTTTTTAATTTAGTCCCTTAACTTTGTATTTTACTCAATTTGTTCTTTTGACTGTGTTGAGTTAATCGATTGACTGAATCGACCAAGAGGAGGGTGAATTGGCAAAAAAAAATTTGGTGGAAGCTTTTGCAGAAAATTGAAAGAAATTGCACAGCGATTTAGAGTGGTTCGACTTTATCAACCAAAGTCTACGTCCACTACCTTAGCTATCCACACTAAGGATTTTCCAACAAATTCACTAATTTGTTCTTTCTTTTGAGGCCAAAGAGATAACCTTACAACTCCCTCAAGAATATACCCTAATTCTTGAGAACACTCTTTTCTCAAAGAGAAATACAAATTTGCAAACTTACAAGAAAAACCTCACAAGGTAAATATGTTTGCACAATTCTAGAACAAAGAAAGAACACTCAATAATAAATACAATTGAGCACAATAAGTGTTCTTGAAAGCAAAATGAATATTGAATGAAAAATAGGCTTGAAATGCTCAAACTTGAGGTTTGATGCTTTCTCTTTGATTATCTCTTGATTCTAATTGCTTGATGTTTCTTGTTGTTGATCAATGGCTTCTAAGCTTACTTAAATACACCTTGAATCACTTCTGAACGTTGGGGATGATTAGAGAAAATAATATAGCCGTTTTAGTGTGAAAACAATTAATAAAACAGTTTGGAGCGTGGGGGGAATCGGTACCCCCTATGGGGAATCGGTTCCCTAAGTGTAAAATTCAAATATTTCGACTGTTATACTAGCATGTCCTAGTCTCCTATGCCATAACCAACTATCATGCTCATCCTTAGCAACTAGGCATAAATTAGTCATATCAAAAGAATCTAAATGCACCATGTATATGTTTCCTATTCTATGACCAACAAGCATAATCCGATTAGATGCAATGTCAATGACTTTACAACCATTAATTTCAAATAAGACATTGAATCCTTTATCGCATAATTGACTAATACTCAATAGATTATGCTTTAATCCATTCACATATAAAACATTTTTAATTTGTATGGAAGAGGTATTACCTATTGTATCAATACCTTCAATGTGACATTTGAATTGTCTCCAAAAGTCACTTCTCCTCCAGTTTTGGCGTTAAGCTCAATGAACCGGCTTTTGTCTCCGGTCATGTGTCTTGAGCATCCACTATCAAGGTACCATGAATTTAATTTGTTTCCCGTGCCTTGTAGCAATGCTCCTTTCCCTACAAACATAGATTAATTTTTGATTTTTGGTACCCAAATTATTTTGTGTCCATATTCATTAGTTTCCAAAATCCTAGTCCCCTTAGGTATCCATTTGTGTAGGATAGTTTTATCTTTAGTAGTAATGAGTTCTTTAGGAACCCACATACTTCTAACGATTTTTCCATTAGAGGTTCTTTGGGGACCTCTATGATTGTAGTTTCTAAAACTTTTTCTAACAAAGTTGGATTTTGAATTTCCACCTTTTTCAAAATGTTTTGTTCCAACTTTATCAAAAGAAGTTTTAAGATCATCAATTTTCTTTTGATGATCATTATTGATCTTTGAAAGTAAATTTTGCAAATCTAAATTTTTCTTTTCGAACTCTTCTAGTTTGATTTGCAAATCTTTGATTTTACTTTCAAGATCGTTGTTGGTTTTGGATATGAGTTTGTTTTCATTTTTCAATTTTGAAACATCATTTTTATATTTTAAAAATAATTTCTCATAATCCGAAGCCAATCCATTATATTCCTCTAATAACTCATCATAGGATAAATCATCAAAATCGGATGAGTTAGAGGTTACCTTAGAATCTTCCCCGAATGCCATCAAGCACAAGTTAGCTACTTATTGTTCCTCTTCATCGGAACCTTCTTCATCGCTCCATGTAGCCACATGAGCCATGTGCTTATTCTTTGATTGACCCTTTTTTCTTCAATTGTGGGCAATCATATTTGGCATGCCCTGGTTTTTTGCATTCGTAGCAAATGATTGGGTCCTTCTCTTTCGGTTCATTTTTGAGGCCTTCATTTCGTTTGAATTTTCCTCCTCGATAAGGTCTCATCATTTTTTTGAACCGTTTGGCAAACAATGCCATTTTCTCGTCATCGCCATCGTCATTCAAATCACTCTCATCTTTTGTGGATTTGAGAGCAACTCCAATGTTTTTCTTCTCCTCCTTATCCTTTGGTGTCTCGTCAATCTTGTCGAGGTCCACGTCATCTTCGAGCATCATTTCATGAGTGAGGAGTGACCCAATTAGCTCTTCAAGAGTTAAGGACGTTAAGTCCTTAGACTCGATGATTGCCGTCTTCTTTGATTGCCACGATTTTGGGAGGGAGTAGACTAACTTCCTAACAAGCTTTTCATCTGAAATGATCTCTCTATATGATTTGAGACCATTGACAATCGTTGAAAATCTATCCGTCATAGCTTTGATATCTTCATTTGGTTTCATCCTGAAATTTTCATAGCTATGCGTTAGAATACTAATTTTAGATTTATTTACCTCATCGGTACCTTCATGAGTGACTTGAAGTTTGTCCCATATTTCTTTGGTGGTTGTACACGATGAAAATCTTTCGTATTCATCTAGTCCAAGAGCACAAAAAATGATATGGATGGCTTTGGAGTTGAGCTGGAACATTCTTGTATCTCCTTCACTCCACAACCTTGGATGAGTGAGAGGTTTGATGTATCATTCTTCTACGGCATTCCATGCTCCCATGTCACTTGCTTGAATGAAGTACATCATTCTATTCTTCCAATAGGCATAGTTAGCTCCATTGAAGAAAGAAGGCTTGTTGACGGGCATCGAATCGAGACCGGAGTCGAAGTTTGAAGCGGAGGCCATTGATGACTTTGATTATCGATATAACTCTTCTCGAATCGACTCAAGAGGCGATTAAACCTTCAAATGAGTTAGGCTCTGATGCCAATTGTTGAGTTAATCGATTGACTGAATCGGCCAAGAGGGGGTGAATTGGTAATAAAAATTTTGGTGGAAGCTTTTGCAGAAAATTGAAAGAAATTGCACAGCGATTTAGAGTGGTTCGACTTTATCAACCAAAGTCTACGTCTACTACCTTAGCTATCCACACTAAGGATTTTCCAACAAATTCACTAATTTGTTCTTTCTTTTGAGGCCAGAGATATAACCTTACAACTCTCTCAAGAATATACCCCAATTCTTGAGAACACTCTTTTCTCAAAGAGAAATACAAATTTGCAAACTTACAAGAAAAATCTCACAAGGCAAATATGTTTGCACAATTCTAGGACAAAGAAAGAACACTCAATAATAAATACAATTGAGCACAATAAGTGTTCTTGAAAGCAAAATGAATATTGAATGAAAAATAGGCTTGAAATGCTCAAACTTGAGGTTTGATGCTTTCTCTTTGATTCTCTCTTGATTCTAATTGCTTGATGTTTCTTGTTGTTGATCAATGGCTTCTAAGCTTACTTAAATACACCTTGAATCACTTCTGAACGTTGGGGATGATTAGAGAAAATAATATAGCCGTTTTAGTGTGAAAACAATTAATAAAACAGTTCGGAGCGTGGGGGGAATTGGTACCCCCTATGGGGAATCGGTTCCCTAAGTGTAAAATTCAAATATTTCAACCATTATACAAGGGGGAATCGGTACCCCTTTGGGGGGGAATCGGTTCCCTCTGAGCAATCTGGAATTTTTGGCTTTGAAATGATTCGAAATACTTTGTAAAATTATTTTGAAATTGTTTTAAGATTAAAACTTAATTTTACACTTGAGTAAGGATTAAAAATGATCTTTAAAAGATTTGGAGTAATGTTTTGATATTCGAATAGTTATATTGAATATACTTAGAAAATCATTTGGAAAATCTTAAAATTCATTTAACTTAATTTGTTATATCGAAATATCAAAATGTTTTCAACAGACTGTAATTGTTTGCAAATTCTTTCTTCCCATCAATTATTGGACTCCTTTATACTCTAATCAATACTTTACCCTCAAAATACTTTCTTTAAAATATAATATTGTAAATATATTTTATAATTTTAGATTGAATTTGATATATTAAACAACATCATAATGTGAAAAGAATATGAATATGAATATATATATATATATATATATATATATATATATCTTATATGGTTAAAGAAATTTGAACGATTGAAACAATTAACATCATAATACTATAAACAATTATAATTAAATTTGTATAGAAATTTGAACAACTCAATTCGACTCGAATTTCATAAACTCGACTCAAAAAAATTTGAAGTTACGTTCGAGTCATAAAATACGACTCGTCAAATCAAATAACTCAAAATTTTGTACTCGACTCGATCGAATGTTCACCCCTATATGTATAGTTTGGGGTAAAATTGAAATATTCAAAAAGTGTAGGGACCAAATTAGAATGAAGGTCATAACCTAAGGATGAAAACGAAATGTTCAAAAGTTTGAGAATTAATTTAGAATGATAGTCATAGTTTAGGGATGGATTTGAAATGGTAAAAAGTTTAAGTACTAATTTAGAATAAGGGTCATAATTTGAGGAATGTGATGTAATTAACTCTTAAAAACTAATATTGAAATTATAAATAAACTGGTAAAGTACGTGAATGGTCTCCCGACTATAGGACACTGTTTTATTGAGTCACTCGACAATTAAAAATGACAAAATAGTCCTCTAATTGTAGAGCAGTGTTTTGTTGAGTCAATCGAATATAAAAAATTATAAAATGGTCACCCTACTATTCATATGTTCCAACCTCATCCTTTCCCATTAAAAAAATTGATCTTCTGAGTTGGACGTTAACCTGTTGAATGAGATATGATAAAATTTGATCTCAAAATCGTTTGAGTTATATTTTGTGGATTGACTATTCGTTTACATTATGCAACCAAATTATTGCTTGAAACACTATACCGTCGAGCCAATACTTGAAAGCAATAATGGTGTCAGATTTTATTATATCTTAGTCAGTAAGCTAATGTCCGACTAAGACGATCACTATTCTTTTAACAGAATATGACGAGTTTAGAACATAAGAATAATCAGGTGATCATTTTATAACTTTTTTTATAATCGATAACTCAACAAAATAACGTCTTATAAAGTACTATTTGTATACTTTACAGTAATAAATTTGACTTCAACTATTACATTAGCCGACCAAACAAAACGTAATCAAGTTGACTTCAACGCAATGGCTTGAATCAGTTATTAGAATTCAAATGTGTAAATTCCGTCAAAAGGAATCAATCAAACGAAGACTTTTTTTTTTTTTGGAAGCCAATCAAACGAAGACCAATGACTTTGTGACTCACTTGTCACCTCCAATTATTTCCTCCTATTTTCTCTCTTATTTCCAACTTACCAAACATAAATTCTCTCTTCCTCTTCTTCTTTAACCTTGAATCAGACTTTTGTTTATTGTTTCCAAGTTCATTGTTTTCATTTTATCTCAGCTGATTCGGCTATTTAATTGAAGAAACCGAGAACAAAAGAAAAAAAATGATGGAGCGACTTATTTCCGTTTGTTTATGGTTGATTTTGGTTTCCAGAGTTGCAGGCAACGCTGAAGGTTCTTTCTCGTTATTTTCTTTTGTATTCCAGTTTTCAAATGGAATTTTGTTCATTTTGATGAATACGGTGGAGTTTTGGCCTGTTCCATTATTTTTAAGCTATTCCATTGTATGATTTAATCTCTATTGAGGTTTTAGATTTAGAAATCCCCCATTGTCGCAAATTTTGAAACACGGTTGTTGAAGCTTTTGCAATGTCTCACAGGCGATGCGCTGTATGCATTGAAGACCAAATTGGCTGACCCTAATAACGTGTTTCAAAATTGGGATCCAACCCATCCCAATCCTTGCGTATGGTTCAACATTACATGTAATGCTGAAAACAGTGTGGCGAGAGTGTAAGTCTTACATATCTTTTTGCTAGTTCAGCTGGTTGTACTCCCTGGCATCTACTTTCTTGTGATAAATGCTTTTCGCTTTGTCAATTTAGTGATCTTGGGGACGCAAATCTATCTGGCCAATTGGTTCCAGAACTCGGGCAGCTTGCGAACTTGCAGTATCTGTAAGTATGATAATTTTAGATCTGGTGATTACGTTTTGCCCCCGTAATGTTCGAAGTATTGTTTAGTAAAAGATAAATAAATAGTTGTAAGAACAGACCCTGAAGATGGTTGTAATTGTATGGCTATTGGGTTTTTGCACATTCATTCAAACATACCGAGCAATCTAAGTCAATTATTTATGACAGGGAGCTTTATAGTAATAACATATCTGGGACAATCCCGGAGGAACTTGGAAACTTGACGAGCTTGGTGAGCTTGGATCTTTTCTCGAATGCTTTAACCGGACCTATTCCAGCAGCTCTGGGCAAGCTCCGAAAGCTTCGTTTCTTGTACGAACACTTTTCACATTTCTTTTAAGTAGCTAATTCATTAATATTTCTTTGTGCTTTTGCTCTCGTCGTATGTGGAAGGCCTTTATGCGTTGATATTGCTAGCAGAATTATAGGCATAGATAGACTTGGCTTATCATAATTGGATGAAAATTCCTAAAATTACTCGATTAGTAATAAGGCCTCTCGATTGTTAGCAAAGATGGAAAAAACAGAATAGGACTGGTTGGACTGGTTCAATCGAAACTCAAAAGCATATCTAGTTCATTGCTATAAGTTCAACTTCAACCGAAGATTTAGGAGTTCGTTTATTAAGCAAAAATAAACGAGTATGAACAGAAATTTTATGTTCATTTAATAAACGAACAAACATGAATAAAGGTGTGTACGGTTCATTTATGTTAACGAAAAAATTTGTTTAAAAGCTTGTTTGTTGTCCTTTTTTGCCCTGTTCTCCTTTTCTTTTTCTTTTTTACATTTTAAATATTAGTGAACGTAAGGAATAAATTGAACACAATGTGAATTTGGAGTTCAAACTGTGAAATATAAGAAACTTAAAGACTAATGGTGTAATTTCACCATTTTTCTTTGGCCTAATGTTAGTTGCCTAACATTAAATCAACATAAAACAAATATGAATGCTAAACGAACCGAACATTAAAAAAAAAAACCGAATATGAACACAATATTAAAAATTTAAGCGAATACGAACAGAACATAAACACCTTAAAAACTAACAAACGAATATGAACATAATCTTATTCATTCAAGCTCGGTTGATTTACAACCTTACAACATTACCTCGTTCATCTCCTCCAATTCTTATGCGGTTCAATCTGATGTGAATGTAATAGTATATGTACTCTAGTCATGTTATCAATGTGCAATGTGATTGATACTTTTTTTTTTTGTGGAGCAGGCGTCTCAACAACAACTCGTTGACAGGTCAAATTCCTATGTCCTTAACCACTATTGTTTCACTGCAAGTGCTGTGAGTGTTGCTATCAGATTTTTTTCTTTTCTTTTCCAAATTAATTTTATTTTCTTAGCTTCAAGAACACAATATATGATGGGGTGGGATATTTGACCATCTGATGCAGAAATCTTTCAAATAATCGGCTAGAAGGAGATATTCCGGTTAATGGATCCTTTTCAGTATTCAATCCTACCAGGTTTTTCTTTTATGCTATCACCTTTTAACTCCTGACCCTCGCCACCATTGCTTGTACCCATTTTTTTCGTGATATAATGTCAAAATTAACCCCTAAATTTATTAAAATGATCATTTTAGCTCATATTTTTTTAGCATGTTGACCCTAACTTTTTATTTTGGGGTAAAAGTCTATTTGATCGAATAATCATTTTGACTCTTATTCTTTATTTCTAGAGTATTTTAGCTCTCAACATTTTATTTTAACATAAAAAATTCCATATTTTAAAGTGTTAACCGTTTGTTAACTAACGTTTTTAATCTATAAATGAGTCTTTTTACCTCAAAATGAAACGTTGAAAGTTAAAATACTAAAATTAAAAAAAAGAATATTTGCCAAAATGATCATTTAATACCTTTTTCTTCATATAGTCATAGTGTAGTCTCCTAAGTTGCTGCACCTTTTTTCCCCACAGTTTTAGGAATAATGGACTCAATAATCCTCCTGTTGCTCCGCAGTCTCCTGCTATCCCCTCTACAGCTTCAACTTTATCAGGTCTGATTATCTCCGTTTTATTCTTATTATCTCTGCTAGAACTTTAATCTCTGCCAATCTTTGGGGCCTACTTCTTTCTTACTATTTGTGCTTGAGATATTCCTTGAAATTTTCTCTGCCTCTGCAACTGTTTCGGTGTTACCGCATGTATGTAAAATGCAAAGAATTGATGTAAATTTTAACGATTAGCACTAAAATTTTTAAATAAAAAATGTAGGATAATTTAATTTTTGAACCTTTAAAGTGCAAGGATTAAATCACAATGCAAATACAAAGACAAACAACATATTTTTTTTCATGTAAATGTTAATATTTAAGGTAAATTATGTACTTAATCACTCATCTATTTTTATGATATTTTATTAGTCATTAAACTGTTTTTTTAAAAATCATACATAAGGTTACGTTATGATTTTGTTTTGATCATACACCGTTAAAATATAAACAAAATTATTGACATGATTCTTTTTTTCAATGATGTCATGATATTACTTTATGATAACACATTAACATTACCATTAAATTTTTAATGAAAATTTATCAAAACGTAATCAAAACATAACATTATGTACGATTTTTTTAAAAAATAATTGAGTGAGTAAAACGGAATTACACAAATAAGTGGACGATTAAATATGTAATCTACCTTAACAGTTATATATATTCATTGATCTAACTTTGTTGTATGTACTGGCAGGCAGTATTGCCATTGTTGCTGGAGTTGCCCTACTGTTTTCTGCGCCTACAATTATATTTGCTTGAATCCTTTAATGTACTTGGTTAGTATTTTTTTTACGGTGTTGTCAAGGTCGTAAGGCGTAATGATGTTTGCGTGTTGTAGTTGGAAAATGTTGATATTATATTTTAGAATTTATTTAAATAATTTTTATAAGATAGAAACTGTTAATTTTATTAAAATTAAAAATATATGAATTATAATGAAGATTTACGATCATATTTGTAAATTAAACACATAATAAGTGATATTTTCCTATAACTGTTAACATAAAAATCTAGTTACTTAATATCCCACACGAATTATACAAAAATATTAAAAAATCTAATAAAATAAACTCGAATAAAAAATAAATAGAAACACATGAAATGAGGAGAAGAAAGTGAAATGAGCTTAAAAAATTTAGTTTTTGACACATGAATTGCGGGACTGCATTGCATCAACCAAGAAGAAGAATACTGTGAGCAGATGAAATCAAAACGATTATTTATTCAATACCCAACTCTTGAATGAAAAACGTCACACACACAACCACAATACATCTAGAGGCATTAAGCTTTTTGTTATATGAACTTAAATATTTCACTGATAAAGAGTGACATACGTATACATACGCATACTTTTATTTTGTTATAAATAAATTTATAAAATTTTAAAGATTGAAATACAATATCAATAAAAAATATTAAAAAAAAATTAAATATTGTTACGATAACCTCTCGATCAATTCATGAAATATTTCAGCTAAATGATACGAGTTTAAGTGATAATGGATCACATATTTCTTTTGGATAATCTGAATTTAAATAATATTAGAGTTAATTGTATCATATGTCTTTAAAGTATGAACCTCGTTATAATTTGATCCCTAAATTTTTAAATATTTCAATTTCATTCCTAAACTACATTTTAAATTAGTCTTCAAAATTTTGAATATTTTAATTTCATCCCTAAACTATGACCTTCGTTCTAAATTGATCCCCAAACTTTTTAAACATTCCAATTTCATTCCAAACATACGTATATAATAATCACATTCCTTGTTAATAAAATCGTTCGGTCAAGTTATATTATATATGTTTTTCAAAAAAAACTTAGGTTAAATTATGGTTGAAACTAATTACATATTTGGATGAATTTGGGGATGAAAATGGAATATTCAAAGTTTGGGGACCAATTTAGAAAGAGAACATAGTTTAGGAATGAAATTAGAATATTCAAAAGTTTAAAGACTATTTAGAATGAGAGTCATAGTTTGGGGATGGAATTGAAATATTAAAAAGTTTAAGAACTAATTTAAAATGAGGATTATAGTTTAGGGACATATGATGCAATTAACTATAGTATTATTTAAAGTATACATGAGTTTACGCAAATAAAAAATAGACTATATTAAAATATTTATGTTGTTTATTTATATACAGGGGAGTTCGCAACTTTAACCCAGCAACCAACCCTTATTTAATTTTCAATTTCTTCTTTTAACTTTAGTATTAGCTTACGTGCATTGAAAGTTGGAAATAATATAAGTCAATATTCATTAAGTTTTGATTGATTTAGAGATATTAAATTACACAATTAGTATACCTTTAAAATATATTTAAAATTATTCAAGAGAACAGCTGTCTCACCATAAATAATATAATTGAAGGTAACATGTAATTCAGATTGTTTACACATTGATCAATGGATTAAATATATATATATATATATATATATTAATTTTTTTATTGAGATTATTTCATGAGTTAAAAAAACCCTATGAAAGCATTAAAATCTTCATTTTTTTCCGTTAATTTTGCACGCTTCTCTAATTATTCATCAAAACTACAGAGATTTATGAAGGAATGTAAAGAAGGGAAAAAAGGAAAGACAGTTCAACTCAATCTGTATCTCTCTATTTGTCTCAGATTCAACGAATATAGACTTGGTTTGATCTTCAATCTCCTCTTTCTATTTTCCCTCAGTATTATACTATATACAGTTGAAACCCAGCAAACAATATACAATGATGATTAGCAACCTTTGTGGACTGTAAGTTAAACTACTTTCTTGAACTCTTCATCGACTTTGCCAATTGTACATGTTTTTCTGTTTTAATTATTTCTGGGTTTTTTTTTTTTTGTGATTGGCAACTTGGCATGATGATTCACTATTGATGGCGGTTGTGTGCTGAACCAAACTGAACAAGAACAATATCTTTGATTTGGCTGACTTTTTATTTTTATTTTTATTTTGAGAATGTGGGGCTTTAGTGCTTTCATTTGCGGTCACGCTCCGGAGTTCATACGATGATGAAAGAACAATAAGATTCTCATTTTATGATTGTTTTTTAGAAAGCTTATTAGTAGAAACCCATTTTCTCTCTTACCTGTATGATAAAATTACAGCAGAAAGAACACTTTGTTTATTAAACATGTGCACTTTCGGGTACGACCGAAGGTGCCTATATTTTAGATATTTTCTTGGTATTTTCTATTTATAATTTATTTTTGTCTACCTCTCCTTCTAAATTTTATAAATTTGATCTCTAACATAAAATCTTGTAATCGTACATATCCATTTTGTTGTGTTATTTTATCAGTTCTTTTACTTGTTTGATGATATATGTAGGAAGAATTGTTTGGTGCTTCAAACATGGATTATTCGTAAATCTCTTTAACTGTATTATTATCGAGAAGATAATCGATGTAATTGTAAGACATAATATACATTTAAAAAAGAATATAGATTCGAACATTAGAAACGATATTAGAATGAAACGATATCAAACCTTACAAAGTCGTCTTTCATGGAACAGAAAATGTACATGGAATGTATAATGAACAGTATCATTCTTTAAACAAGGAAAATTATTGATAAAGTATATGTGTCACAACCTCATGAGTTCTTGAAAAGGGGAAACCACTAAGGATGGTGGAGCGCGGAGAATAGAAAATGCCTGTGATTTTCTTTTACTTATTCAAATCTGAAACTAAATACCCACCACTATTATTTAAAGCCTTCTTTTTTTTTTTTTTACCTTTTTGCTGTAGGAGAAGACATAATGTTGGCTATATGACTCTAGGCCTTAGCAAATGAGCACCCATTCATAAAGTCAACACTAACAAGGGATAGTTTATGTTGATAATATACATGCAATTAATGATCCCTTTCAAACAATACCAAAACAAATTGTTTAGTTCCACATGTTCATGGGATTTAGCCTCATTTATATTCAACTTGTCGGGGTTTATGAATGTAGAATGGCTTTAGAGCTAGGTTCATTGTCTTGCAACTGATGAGAAATCCTTTTTCTTGAAGTTAAACAGTTGACTAATATTGCTCTCCTTGCACTTGTATAAATGGGGAACTCTGCCCCTTTTTTTTTCCATTGCAGGCTCTCTTTAGACCTTCTTTGCCTCACTTCTTCTGTCATATGGTCATCAATTAGCTGAATTGTTCAATATACAGGCCCTTTTAAGTTAGTATATTCACTGAGCCTTTGGTTTCACATGCATTTTCTTTACTGGTTTTCTTAGACAAATAGTTTAAATCATGTTCATGTAGGTTATATGATGAGTAACCGTGTCAACGATGAGCTTGGCAACATGGAGATGGATGTATTAGTGTTTCTTCATCACGTTGCGGCTCAGAGAATTCTACTTATGTTCACAAGGTGGGAAAGCCTCCTAAGAAGACCCTGTTGAAAGAAGTTGGATGCATTGTGAAGGAAACTTTCTTCGCCGATGATCCTTTACGCAATTTCAAGGATCAACCGAGATCAAGAAAGTTTGTGCTAGGCTTACAGGCAGTGTTTCCCATTCTTGAATGGGGAAGGCAATATACCCTTTCTAAATTCAAAGGTGACTTCATTGCTGGACTTACCATTGCAAGTCTTTGCATTCCGCAGGTATAAACAATCTTTCAGATGATGTAATTGAAGTTTCTATTTTTTTTCTTTTTGTTTCTAATATCTTTTAATTTACATCAGGACATTGGATATGCAAAGCTCGCCTATCTGCCTCCCCACTATGGTTTATGTAAGCATCTTTCTACATGATAAGATTGTTTTTAATGGTGGATCGTGAGGGAATTGTACTGATTTTCGTATTGCATTGCAGATAGTAGCTTCGTTCCGCCTCTTATTTATGCATTCATGGGAAGCTCACGGGATATTGCCATTGGACCGGTGGCCGTTGTGTCTCTCTTGCTTGGTACTCTCCTGCAGAACGAGATTGACCCGTCTAAAAATCCAGTGGATTACCGGCGCCTTGCGTTCACAGCTACGTTCTTTGCTGGTATCACTCAAGTCACACTTGGATTTTTGAGGTAATAAAGTCAGTGTCTTATGAGGAAACTCCGGGCATATATCATAAGTGCTAAATGGTTTGTGGTTGGCTGGGGTTCTTGATAGACTTCCTATCTCACGCTGCCATTGTTGGCTTCGTGGCTGGTGCTGCTGTCACCATTGCCCTTCAACAACTAAAAGGTCTGTTCGGAATAAACAAATTTACGAAGAAAACTGATATCGTCTCCGTCATGCGCTCGGTTTTCCATGCAGCACATCATGGTGTAAGTGACTAGTATTATCTTACATTTTGAGATTCTTTGGTTTTGTGGCATCAAACACGTTTTAAATTTGGCTAATCCTAATGGCAACTTTGTTCTACAGTGGAATTGGCAAACTATACTAATAGGACTGTCCTTCCTTGCCTTCCTTTTGGTTGCAAAATACATTGTAAGATCATAATCCTTTCTTTCATCATTTATGTAGAAACTCTGTTAATGTGATCTAATGATGCTGTATAAAACTGACCAGGGGAAAAAGAGAAGAAACTATTTTGGGTGCCAGCAATTGCACCGATGATCTCTGTCGTCCTCTCCACCTTTTTCGTATACATCACACGAGCCGACAAGCACGGTGTTCAGATTGTATGTACAACACTTTCTTCTGTTTGATTATCTCCAAGCTTTGAACAAAGAAAAAGAAATGAAGATTCATTTTCCACAATTTATCTTCAGGTAAAACATATCAGGAAGGGAATCAACCCACCATCTGTGGATGAAATATTTTTCTCTGGAGAATATCTTGCCAAAGGTTTCAGGATCGGTGTTCTAGCCGGTATGATAGCGTTAACGGTATGCGAATTCGACCCCTTATTCCTTGATTTGGCTTAAGGAGATTAGGTTCTAATCACTTCATCTTTTATCATTTAGGAAGCTGTAGCAATTGGAAGAACATTTGCTTCCATGAAGGACTACCAGTTGGATGGAAACAAAGAAATGGTAGCATTAGGAACGATGATATTGTCGTTCGATGACATCTTGTTACGTGGCCACAGGTTCCTTCTCCCGCTCGGCAGTAAACTACATGGCCGGATGCCATACGGCGGTATCTAATATAGTGATGTCTGGTGTTGTGCTACTAACATTGGAACTCATAACTCCATTGTTCAAGTACACTCCAAATGCAATACTAGCTTCCATCATTATATCAGCAGTGATTAGCTTAATTGACATTGAAGCAATGACTCTAATATGGAAGATCGATAAATTCGACTTTGTTGCTTGTATGGGAGCCTTTTTTGGTGTAGTTTTCTCTTCGGTTGAGATAGGCCTACTAATTGCGGTGAGGAATTCATGGAGATTGTTGCCACATCCCAAGTTTCAATCGATTTACCACATCCACCTAAATGATCTATTTCTCGTTGCAACAGGTTTCGATATCATTCGCGAAAATCCTCTTACAAGTTACGAGACCTCGAACGGCAGTTCTCGGAAAGCTTCCGAGAACGACGGTTTATAGGAACATCCAGCAATATCCTGATGCAGCAAAAATTCCAGGCATCCTCATTGTTAGAGTTGATTCCGCAATTTACTTTTCCAACTCCAACTATATAAAAGAAAGGTTAGCTTTCCCACATGCATGAAGTAATAAAAGGAAGTGAACTCTGTCCAAATATAGACATTCCTAAAGTTCAAGTTTCTTGCAGGATTTTGAGATGGATGCTCGATGAAGAAGAGAGACTGAAAGAAACTCCCAACCGAGAATTCAGTATCTGGTCGTCGAAATGTCACGTAAGCAATATTCGACTTTCGTTTCCTGTTCATCGATCGAGCTTATGACCAAATGAACTGTTTCTTATGAACTTTACATTCTTTGATCAGCTGTTACTGACATTGACACTAGTGGCATCCATGCCATGGAAGAGTTATTGAGAAGCCTTGAGAAGAGGGATGTTAAGGTAACGTAGTGCAAAAGAAGCTCAAATAAAAGTTGGTTTTTTTAATTTATGCAAAATCCATTGTTTTGCAGCTTGTTTTTAGCAAATCCAGGGCCAGTGGTGGTGGACAAGCTTCATGCCTCAAAGTTTCATGAGATGATAGGGAAGATAGGATATTCCTCACTGTGGAAGATGCAGTAAAACATGTGCTCCCAAAATGGATTTAGAACCATAAGAAGCTGGTTGTGAAGGAGATTTGAATGTGAACAGTGAATAAAGATATATATGGGGGTGATTCAACAAAACTAAGGGTCTGTTTGTTTTCCTTCGATGGGGGCATTTTGAAATTTTCTTATATTCCTTCTCATGTCATTCTAGTTCTTAGTTTCAGTTAAGGTTGTCAGGTGTCTTTATATATATATCACGTGCACAGCTGAGGTTGTTCTTTATGTTTCCCTTTTAATAGAAGTCAAAGCCTATTTATTTTGAAAATTTCTTTTACCTTCCATGATACATCAATTTTACAAAAATATTAAACTATAATATTAAATATTGTTATTTCTAGAGATCTCGGATTCAAATATCAATAATTATAGGGTGATTAAGCGTTTGTAATTAAATGATTGTGAGTTTTTAGAACAGATATAATCACTTGTAACTACCCTAGATTAATAAAAAAAATTTAATAATGATGGTTGATATCATTATTATTTGTCAATATTTATCTAAAAATATGTTTGTAGTTATTTCAATTTTGTGGTGTATATATAAAACATAGGTAAAAGGGTACCTTTTATATCTCTTATGAGTTGACTAGAATTAATGTTTGAGGAATTAAAATCAAACTTTTAAGGAGTTACAAGTGAGTTGACGGGAACTAATATTCGAGGAATTAAAATCAAATGTACTGATAATATAAGGGATTAAAATCGTTCTTTTTTTAAATTGGTGTTCAAAATCAGTCAAATCAAAAACATCAGTATAATTTATTCTTGACATAAAATATTTATAAAATTATATATAAATCTCAATACAAATTCCAGGGTTAAACATCTAAATCTTAACTACTTATCATTTATTTTTAATTTTTTATTAAATCTTAATTTAATATATATATATATAAAAGGCTCCAAATCATCAATAAACATTAAAAAATCAGAAGATGCAAATGGTTAAATTATTATCTATGTATAAAGTGAAAAGATTTCCATTAACCCACTAAAGGGAAACCTAGATAATCACCAATATCCAGACTAACATCAAACTGGTCTTTCACTCACACAGAGACTGAACTAGCATAACTATGAGGAGGCTGCAACAAGAGATCCGATTGACAGAGAACACCGCCGAGCCTGATTTACTAGGAGCCGTCGGCGCTGCCTCACTCGCTCCCCCTGATTCGGTTGTTGGCGCAACTGCTGTTGGTGATGGTTGCACACCTACAATTAGCAGCCAATTTTTAAAAACAAAGGTCAGTGTAATCTTAGGTGATATTGTGATTTAATTTTCTATTTGAAATTTGAATATGACATAATTTGATCAATCCACTTTGATAATGTTAAAATTCAAAGAAAGTTAATAAAATTTTCTATGATAGACAATAATGAACAATGTTTTCAATTTCAATATTCTAATAACATTTTGAGTAGATTATTTTTGAATCGAGTCAATTTAAGTTGAATCAATAAAGTTAAATTTTTTTAGATTTCATGTTTAAGTCATTGAATTTTTCTAATTAGGTAATCTTTATTCAATTATTTTGAATTACTTATGGTTGTTTTAGATAAAGACCAATTCATATTATTAATTTTTTTATTATCAAAGGGATTTGGATCAATCAATATAGTTTTCAAATTCAGTTAGAATTAACAGTCTGAAGTAGGGTGACCAAATTATCTCAAATTAAAATGGAAAATTAGAATAATAATAAAAAATAGTTGTTACCCCTATCAGGACAGATTTGATTTATGGGGACATACCTGGCGCCGCAGCAGGTACAAGAGTACTGTCAAAAAAGAGAGGATGAAACAGATTCTTACTTTCCTTTTTCCAAAAGAAAACTAACCAAATTTCCATTAAAATGGGTTTTGAGAAAATAAAAAAGTGAAGCGTCACTCACACGCGCATTTAGGTACGGAAGAAACGGGGATATTGCAACAGAGGGCAAGGTGGAAGCCCTAGTGAGATTCAGAGTAACACCGAGCGAAGCACTGCTCTTAAACGCCTCGCACAAGCATCGGCGTCGGTTTGAATCACAGTCTTCAAGCCAGTACAGCACATCCTTCCGGTTTCGATACTTGACTCCCGCTCGACACGAAGGACAAGCACTCCGCCATGTCGAGGATCAAAGCCGAGCAGTCCCCGGAGGAGGAAGAGGTGACGGTGTCGCCGCCGCCGTAATGTTGTGGGCGGCGTCTACGGCCCAGATGGAGAGAATGGAAAGGTGAGAATGAGATAGAATTTGGAGAGTACCATTGCTTGGAGAGGATAAAACTGGGTTTGAGTTTTGGGGAAGGGGATGAAACAGTGACGGTTTTTGTAGAAGTTGAAGGAAAAAAAAAAAGGGAAGAATGAAGTGATGGGATTTCATTAGTAATGAGAGAAATAAGTGAGGCATTCAATGACAATGAAAAACGAGAGACGTGCCCAACTCAAATATATTAATTTGGACTTTCTACTGAAATGTCACTCTATTTTCGTAGTATTAAGTGAATACGAGATAATTTTGAATGATTTTAATTTTTAATTATGAATACTCTACTATCTCTTAATAAATACGAGAAAATAAAAATAATTGAATACTAGTAAAAGAATTAGATACAAATATATATTATGAAACCCCCTAAAAAATAATTATATATTATATGAAGAATATATGGTCATTCTTACTCCCTTCCACGTTTGGCAATGAAATCTGCTCATTTATTCAGTTGCAATATACGACAAAGAGCAGTCAGATTTTAAACATGACAGAATATTTTTTATATGTTTGATCCGATTCGATTTATGCTTAATTTTATTTCGGTTAATTTATCCGAATCATCTAATTTAATTGGTTAATGATTGGAGCTATTATTTCACGATTTATAATATTAAAGCCTTAAATCAATTTATCTAGATCCAAAACAAATCATTTTATAATTAATTTTTCAATCAATTTCAACATTAAATCATCCTATTCCTTCCCGTATAGATAAAAGCAACATATAGGGTAAACTACATGTTAGTATTCTCATTTTTGTTTTGTTTTGATTGCCTACTTATTTTTTTTTTTCAAAATCATACAAAACGGTAAGCTTTGATTTCATTTTTATCATCTACCGTTAAAAAATTAACAGTGATACTAACGTGACAACATAGGGTAATATCACATTATAATTAATTTTTTTTAACAAAATGTCACATCAACTGCTAAGTTAATTTGTTAACGATAGATGATCAAAATGAAATCAAAACGTAATATTAAATATGATTTTAAAAATAATGATTAAATGATTAAAACATAAAAGAATGATAATTAAGTATTAAATGTAATTTACCCAAATATATGGGATCTTGAGCCAAACGATGCACGTACGTCCTATTATAACATGCGTATCCGTTGCACCACAATATTCCTGATGACAAAAGACCGATAAGGCGTAAATGAATCAAATTTGAATAATATGTTGTGCTCTTTTATTTATTTTTAAATGTATTTGTAATTAGTTTGTGTTCGTTTAAATTTTTAATATTGTATTAGTTTTGTTTATTTTTGAAGATATTTTGTTTAACATTTGTGAATATGTTCGTTTATAGGTAATGTTAAAATTTAACTAAACAAACAAACAAAAAATAAATGGTGAAACTACACTATTAGGGTGCGTTTTGGTTCACTGAATGTAAGATTACCAGTGAGAATATAGATTACCAGGGAATAGGATTACTGGAAATGTTGTATTTTGTGTTTGGTTGGCTTAGCAAGAATGTAAGATTACTGTGTTTGATTAAAGGAATAAAATATTATTGGAATGCATATTTGATCAAATTTTCCTTATTATATATTTTTTAACAAGTTGGAAAATTTTATATATTTTCTTTAAAATTTAAATTTATATAATTTATATAATTTTTTTTACAAAATTTAAATATAAAAGGTTTAATGAAGGGTAAATTTTATTTTAACCCCTGAACTTCATATAAATTTTAATTATAGATTTTTTTGTAATCTAAAATAGTTTAAGGATAAATTTATAATTTAACTTTCGTAGATTTTTATTATTCAATGACAGAAGAATGATATTTTTGAAAAGAAAAAAAATTAAGGGCATTTTAGTCCAAAACGCCGGAATCCAACAATACAAAAGGAAAGGAGGTAATGACATTCCCGGTAATATATCCTAAAATCCACTATTGGTAATCTTATATTACCGGGAATGAGATTCCCGGGCTAACCAAACGGGGGAATGTGGATTTCATTCCCATGGAATCCCACATTCCCCTATCCAAACGCCCCCTTAGTCTAGTAAGGTTGAATACAAGTGAGAGGATTTAATTTTTGAATTAAATTTAGATGGGCTAAAATTACATAACTAATCCCTAAAAATAATCGACTACTAATTTTCATCTGAAGCAAAAGTGTTAACAGAACAACAGCCAATTAGGGATGACAATGTGTCGGGTTTTCTGTCAATCCGACTCAATCCGAAAAATATATACATCCATCCAAACTTGACCCGACCTAAAAAATATATATATTTAACTCGACTCGACCGAAGAGCATAATTCTTCCACCAAATCGACCTAACCCAATTTTTTATAGTACAAATCTGATCTGATTCGATACAACCCGATATAAAATAAGGACCTAATTAAAAAAAACTATAGAAAGATGTATTCTAACAATTATCCATAAATTTATATGAAAAATTACACTATTACTCTTAGATTATGTTGGGTTGGAGATTTTTCACCTTCTACCCAAACTTGATCCTATCCAAATCTAATTTTTTTTAAATCTAACTTGTCATGTTTGAATCAGATTAAAATATGTCGATTTCGAATTAAATTACCATTCCTACCTAAAATCACAAGTTTCCCATCAACACAACTCATATTCTTGAAGACAACATCCTTATTACAATCGCTTTTTTTTACCATATTAAGTTAAATTGAAATTCTCCCTCAACTTAAAATCCTGGAATAAGGTTTGTATGATAATACTTATTCGAACCTCCTTGCTGGTCACGGTTCCTTATGGATTGCATGGACTCATTCTTATTATTAAATCCAATGATTTTCGTCAATGACCTCTAGTACAACCTCAAGTTACATCTTTAAAAAACTATTGAATTTGAAAACTGAGGCCATCCCCATTCTAGACGCTGGTATAACGAATGTTAAAGGGATTTGGGATGAAGTTCGAATCAAGCATGATAAGGTTCCATGGAAAAAGCTAATTTGGTTCCCTCTTCACATCCCCTAAATTCAGTATCATTGCTTGGTTAGTTATCCTTGATCGACTCCCAACTAGGGAGAGACTCTTACGAATGGGACTCACTATCAACGTCAATGTATTCTATGCAATACTGCTATCGAAACGAGGAACCACTTATTTGCTGATTGCATTATGGCAACTTCTCTTTGGAATGGTATTTTGCATCTTTCTTTACTATCTTCGCCTCATATGTCCTGGGAAAATAAGCTTACTTGGGCTTTTCAACTTGGAAAGGTAAATCTCTCTTAACCTCCATTATGAAGATTGCATGGAATGCTTTTATTTACAAAATTTGGGAGGAGAGAAATAGACGCATGTTCAAGGAAAATCAAGAACTGCTGAAGACTTGCTTGATTCTATTAAAGAAACTGTTGGTGCTCAACATAGATTTAGAGACTTCAATAGGCTTGACAATATTAATAGGCTTCTTTGTAACAATTGGAACATAGGCTGATTTTGTTGTATAGTATTACTTTGTTGACTGTAATCTTTGATCCCTTTTGAGATCTTGTTTGAACTATCTTTTGGATAATAAAAAACTTACTTATCCAAAAAAAAAATTCTCCCTCAATCGACATATGTTTGAGTTATTATTATAAATTGAAAGCATAATACTTTTTTAGTCTACTAAAACGCTATCTCGAGAGGTGCTGGGGCTTGCTTTTGTTTTCAAGATTGGGGTCTTTTACGCTGACGATTAGTCTATACGTTGGTGCTTTTGCTCTCCAGGTTAATTGATTATTGCACTTGGGTGTTCAGCCTTTGTTCAAGCTTTTTTCCAGTCTTTTGAAGAGTTTTTTTTTGCAAGATTCCTTTTGTAATTAAATAAAAAGTAAATTATAAATTTAATAATTAAATTTTTATTTTCTATTTATTTCAAACTTTAAAAGTTTTTAATTTAACAATTAAATTTTATACATTTTTTTTAAGTCATTCCACTGTTAACTTTGCAAACACATTATTAGATAGTTTAATTAAATAATTTTTTAATCATTAACTTCCTATAAAAAAATGAAATAATTAAAAAATAGGGCGAAAGAAGGTTTGGATTGGGACACCAATCCCTAAACTATATTTCTCTAATCCCCAATTCAAACCCCAACCGGCAACCCCCACCATTATATATATATATATATAAAACCAAACCCCTACTGATTCCTCCCATATCCCGGTCTCAAAATCTCATTGACCACCTCGAACCCTACCGACCTTATCCTCAGCCTTCTTCACTGCAACGTGACTTGCTTTGGTTATGATGAAAATGGGGAAACAGAGCACTGATTTTGGGAAGTTTTACGAGGAGTATTAGGCGAGGAAAAACGAGAGGCTGAAGTGGAGAGGCGAAATTTTATGAGTTTTCTGTTCTTCTTAACCGTTTCCTTCTGGTTCTTCTGCTGCTCTCTGATTTTTCTATTTCTTTTAGCTTTCTCTTTTGTTTTTTCTGCTATTTCTTTAGTTTCTGTTTGAACCGTTACATTTTTTCTTGGTTTCCTGTCTTTCCTTTTTGCCTTTGTCGACAGTGGATTTCTAGAGTCTCGAAGATTTTGTAATCTCTTGGCTCGTAGATGGAATCGAGTCACATTGTTGACCGTGTTCGCTACTAAGCAAAATGATTGGAATCATCTGATTCTCTGAAGTCTTGGGGCTTTGTATAAAAAATCTATATTACAAATTTGGTTTCATTTGATAATAATGGCAGTCATGACTTCAATTCGACATATTAGCCGGCAATTTACGTTCTCTGA